TTCTTTCTAAATGGAATCATCCATAAATTTAAGACCCATTACAAAGCTTATGAAATGTATTTTCCAGCCCTAACCAGTGTGAACTACCTGCCTTCTTCTTCCATTTTGCTTTCTGTTCCTTGAACCCGCTATCCTGGCACCACCTCTTGATATATTATCTATCCTATGGTATTACAAAGTAATATTCATGTGTGTAATTTCGAGGTGTATCATACAGCACCTTCTCCATTACTTGGCCATACTTTCACTTCTCAAGCTGAGGTGAAAGTGACTTTATCTCCCTTAGCCTATTCAGCTTGCCATATCTGCATGCTTAAATCTTCATTGTTCTCCTGGAATTTTTTCATAATACTAACTCTAAATTCAGGATGCTCTCTTATAACATTCTGATCAAAATATTTCCTAGCAACATATTCTTTATTCTTCATGAAAAATTCTACGGCTTACATTTTTGTCCCAAGGACTATTGCTTTATTGCCCCAAATATCTATTTACTTCTAGATCTCATACTTTTTCTCTTGTTTGATTTATACATTATTCAGGTTTCCATCATTATAGCAAAATACTTGAAATTATCAATTTATAATTTGCTGATGATAGCTGAACAATGGATGCTAAGTTGAATAGGAGCGAGGAATTATGGTGTGCTATTGACCAGCAAGGCGACTGTGGATGGCAATAATGCAATGTAGATGTCAAAAAGCTAGAAGAAAGGATTTTAACATGTCACCATAAACAATTGATAAAAATGATAAATGTTTGAGGAGACACCTGATATGAACATCGCACAATGTATATATACAATGAGACTTCACCTTGTAACTCATTAATACAGTATGCACAATATCTATGTTTTCATGTATCCATTAAAATAAATTTAATTTTTAAGCGGAGAAAAAGAGAAAAGTGTTCTGAGCTTACAGTTTTGGAAGTTACTGTCCATAATGAGTTATGCTGATTGCTTTGAGCTATGATGAGGCAGAATTACAGTGGGAGCAGGTGGGGACCAAAACCACTTCTGAGTTCCCCGGGTAGGACACAGCCTCCCACAGTCCCTGCAGGGTGAACTGGAAGTGACTAGAAGACATCTAGCTAGGCTCTGCTTCTTAAATATTCCATCAGCCAGAGAAGGAAGCTTTAATACATGGACCTTTGGATAACACGTAAGAGTCAAACTACAGCAACATAGACTCACTGTATTTTGAAGCTAAATACAAACTTACTATTTTTCTGAACATATTTATATTAATATTCCCTAGCATCATTAGGTGTGAATGCACTTAATTGCTGAACTCAATTCCTGGTGCTGAACCAGTTAAATTAATGAACCAAACATACTAGTCTAATCAAATACTTTAATCTCATGTCGTTCTATCACATAGATGTTAACACATTTTGTTTATCATACTTGGCAGCTCCTTTCTTTTTAGATTTGAGAAACCATAGGTATTGTCCTTTTCCACTTCTTAAGCAGTGTCTGGAAACATTCATTATCATGTCCCCTTTCTCAATTTGTCCCTTACTTCCTGCTCTTCTCTGTACTCTCCAGCTGTTTGCTGTCCTTGGTTTAGGTTCACCTTCCCACTCATTCCTGTGTGCACATTTGATTCCCCATCTTCACAGATTTCCAGTGTCATCCCTGTCTGGGCTCACAGTGAGAAGGAGATATGAATCTGGACTGTGGATTTATACATCATTTTCAGGTGTGCTTCAGTGTCAGCCAAAGGCACAGTGAGCTTACTGAGGGACTACCTACAGGAGAGAAAAACTGCCAAATAGAACTTGGGGAAAAACCCAATATTTCATGGTTGGGTTAAGGGAGAAAAACTGCAGGAAATAAGTGGAATGATAAAAATAAGTAGAAGGATAATTGGGAGCCACATCTGGAAAAGGACAGAGAATATTTCAAGAAACAGCATACAAACAACAGAGCTAAAACTTGCTAAGAAGCCAGGTACGGGGGATCTGAACACTGAGTAGTTTTCGGGATCTTGGAAAATCTACTGAAGAGAGTGAGGAGGGAGAGGCAGTGAGAAAGTGGGGCCAGAAGCTCCATCTGCTCTTTCACAAAGCTCAATAGTGAAGGAACAGAAATGGTATGGGAATAAATAACACAACAGTAAATGACCAAATATAACGTGTCTTACTTTACCTTTCTTCTTTTTTTCCTGTAATCTTATAGTTTCAGGTCTTATATTTGTCTTTAGTCCATTTTGAGTTGATTTTTGTAACTGGTAAGAGGTAGGACTTAATTTCATTTTTATGCATGTGGATTTCCAGCACTATTTATTGAAAAGGCCATTTTTTTCTCCAATGTGTGCTCTATTACCTTTGTCAAAAATCAGTTGGCTGGAGGAGTGCGCTTGAAGACATTGGAACAGGCCAGAAATTTTTTGGAAAGGACATCAAAAGCATAAGAAAAAAAGGAAAAACAGACAAATGGGATTACATTAAACTGAAAAGCTTCTGCACAGCAAAGGAAATAACCGAGTGAAGAAACAATTTACTGAATGAGAGAAAATATTTGCAAACTATATAACTGGCATGACATTGACAATCAGAAGCAACTTTAAAAACTCGATATCAAACAAATGACTTTAAAATAAGCAACGGATCTAAATTGAAACATTAATGAAATGAAGACATATAAAAATGCCATCAGGGACATGAAAAAAATGCTCAGCATCACTAATCATCTGGAGAATGCTGATCAAAACCACAGTGGGCTAGCACTTCACATCAGTAATAATGGCTGTTACCAAAAAGACTAAAGATGGTGATGTGGAGAAAAGAAAAACCTAGCATACTGTTGATAAGAATGCCAATCACTACATTCACTATAAAAATAATATGGAGGTTCCCAAAGAAATTAAAATAGATCTGTCATTTGATCCATTGACCCCCTTAGCTGGTTATCTCCAAGGGGAATGAAATCAGTATAACAAGACAGACATGTGCATTCCCATATTCATAGTAGCATTATTTACAATAGGCAAGAAATAGAAATAACCTAAGTATCCTTCTACTTAATTTGAATAAAGTTTATTTATGCATCAGTAAACAAAATGTGCAACATCTACAAAAACGTACTACTATTCACACATAAAAAGAATGAAATTTTGTAATTTGTAGCAACATGGATGGAATTGTAAATCATATTATTATGTGAAATAGTCCAAGCACAAAAGACAAGTATTTTATGACCTTACCCATTAATTAAGTGTAAAAGTGCTGAGCAGACAATGGTGGTTACAAGGCTATAAGAGTGGGAAGGATGAAAAGTGTTGATCAGTGTGTGCTGTTACAGTTAAACGGGTGGAAGAAGTTCTGGTGAGCTATGGCACAGAAGGGTGACTGTTTCTAACAATAATGTACTGCACATCTTAAAAAGTAAGGAGAATTTTTATGAAAATTTTCACCATAGAAAAATGGTAAGTGAGGAAATAAATATGTTCAACCTGAGTTAAACATTACCCAATATATTGAAACGTCATATAGTACCCAAGTAATTACATGCATAATTTTTGTATTTTTATTTATAAGTTAAAAACAAATTTTAAAATGATAATTTTAAAGTGAAGGAAATATTAATACATTGATAGAAAAGGTGGTGGAGAGAGGGAGAGGGAGAAGAAGATGGGGAGAGAGAGGGAACAAAAAGTTGTGGACAAGATTATTTATTTCAAGTGATGTTCAAGACCTTGGCTCAAGTTGTTTTGAATATCTGGCTTTTGCTGCACGCCTGCTGCTATAGTCTAAGCGAAGCGTCCCCACAGCCTGTGTGTAAAGGCTGGCTTCCCAGTTCTGCTGCTGTTGGAGGTAGTGAGCTGGGGCCCAGGGGGAGATCTTCCAGTGCTGGGGCTGTGCTCTTGAAGGGAGAATGGGACCCTGCCCATTTCTCTTTCTCTTTTTCACAGTCCCACTATGAAAAACTAATTTTTCTCCTGCAAGCACTCCCTGCTGTGATTTGCTACCTGATCATAGCCCAAAGACAATGGAGCCCAAAGACCATGGACTGAAACCTCCAATACTATGACCCAAAACAAGCCTTTTCACTTCATTGGTTGATTATTTGACATATTTTTTACAGTACAGAAAACTAACATAACCACTTTTATTGCAAACATGCCCCCTTCTTACTTAGGCATGTCAGTTAGTTTCCTAACACACCTGTTTTCCCCAAAATTAGACCTAACTAGAAAGTAATCAGCCTCAAAAACTAGAGATAAAAAATGCCAGCCCCAATCACTTTGCCTCACCTGTCTTACAGAGTAGCTGCTGTGCATAGGAATCATGAGGTGTGATCTTCTGCATGACACTGGCTGTCACCACGGTGATGACCAGTGCTTGTTTTCCAGTTAAGTCTTATTTTCAGGGAAACAGGGCATTTGCAATTACAGGACTTTTAATAGTACATTTCATTTAGAACTCTAAGAAATATAAAAAGCCAAACGTACCGGATCCTTCAAATTTTACAACATTATTATGTTGTAACAAACTAGCCCATATTATTTTAGATATAAGAGAACAATTTTCTTTTCTCTCCTTTGATATGTGAATCATTATCATAATTTAGTGACTTTTATTTTATTATGTAATTTAGACCAAAGGAAGGATTTTTATTTAGGACATGGTATTCAGCTGGTGGAGGGAGAGAAAACTGATTTCTTCTGTGCTGGGCAGACCACACTTCCCATCATGCTCTGTTGGCCAAACCTGGGCCAAAATGATGCAGGAAGGACAAGGACTTGTGATAATTCTTGTAAGAAGGATGATAAATATTTGATAATAAGACCAGTTTAGGGCCGGGGATTTAGCTCAGTGGTTTCGCCACCTGCTGCGCAAGCGCAAGGACCTGAGTTCGATCCCTGGTACCAAAAAAAAAATAAGACCAGTTTGACCAAACCCAGTTTTTTTCCTTAAAGTCTTCCATGTTATAAAACATATATTTTCCTCACAAAGTAAATTCATCCCACTAAAATTCTTCTTTTCTTTCACAGTTGCAACTACATAACCAGAACAGAGAGTGGACCTCTGCTGAAGACGTGCCCAGTCGTTTCCATTGTTAAAAGAGAGTCTGGCTTGAAATTGTTTTCAATTTTTCAAATAACAGGGAAAGATGTAAGTGAAATATCTCAGGCAGAGTGAGGGAAATATATTTTTAGTTTTGTCTACTTATTTCATGTCCTGTATAATCAGTCAGTGTCTTCTCCAATTTTACCTTAACCTCAGAGAGAAGGTTCAAGAGCAGGGAAGCGTGCTGGAAATCACAAACGCTGTTACTTTGACCTAGATTACCTGAGCTAAAAATTCTGACTCTGCTCTTTGCTCGCTATGTGATTCCAGACAAGTTACTCTTCATATCTGTATCTGAATTTTAACCAAACAATACCTTATAAGAAAGTTATGATAATTACAGAAGTCTAAAGAATGTAAAGTACTTAGAACAATATCAAGCATGGATATAAATCTTTATTATCATCATCAAAAACATGTGGACCAGGCTGGCTGATAATCACATTCTGAGCATAACAGGAACTGGAAATATTTATGTATCAAATAGATGAAAAACTTCCTGAGTAGACATTCATGTGTATGTACACCAGCATTTTATATACAAATATAGAGATATAGATATATGCATATGTAAATGTGCATATATATATATATGTATATGAATACTGATACAATTGTTTTGTCTTTATACAGTAACACTAAGGCAACTGCATTTAAAATGTAAAGTTGGGGAATGGCTTAAAATTTTAAAGCTACACTGTCATTAATTTTGCAAGATGTCAGAGTTTAAAGGAAAATACCAGTGAGAAGCCATGGAACAGCCTCTGTATAATGAGGGATGAAAGAAAAGGGGAATGACATTTATTCCTCTCTGCCCTGTCACTTTGGCTTTACATCAGTTGCTTAAGGGGTGGCACTGAAGCATGTGACTGGTTTCAAAAGAGCCTTAATAATGAAAGAGAAAAGCGATTCTTGCATATTAAATGTACTGCAGATTCAATACACTGAAAAGGACAACAGGAAGAAGAATAATCATATTTTATTGTGGGAAACAAACAATTTTCACTTACTATCCTAAAGTCAGCATGGCAGATGGCACGAGGCAGCAAGATGGGCCTTGTGAACCCAGAGCTCTCTGAATTCAGGGCATATTTCTACTGTGAAGGAAAGACAACAGCGGCGCTGACCAGCTGTGACTTCTCCAGACGGTCACGAATGCCGCAGCCACAAGGAGGCTCAGGTATTCCAAGTCCAGGCTCAGTGTTCTTTCCTTGTGCTGCAGTTGCTCAGTTTGGCCAAGTTTCTGTTTGTGAAGCTTTTTAGGAAAAGGAAAAAAAGTACTTCCAAATGTGGTAAATTACATATACTAATTTAAGTATATATAAATAACTCATTGCATTTCAGAAGAATGTTTTCCTTTTTTCATTGTTGAAGTAAGGTAACTGTGAAGCTGAAACTCAGTGTATTTCCAAACCCAAGTTAATAAATGTAATAGTGATTAGAGGTTCATCTACTAGGTGTTCAATAAACAGAGTTCACACTGTGTGACAACCTGGAAAATGTAATATTTATTTTTCACTTTTAAACAAATTTATTGAAGTTTAATTTATATTCAAACATCATCCTATTTTAAAGTGTATAATTCATTGAGCAGATAAAGAATACTTCCTTTATTTGGAGAGTTCCCTCAAGCCCTGTTACAGTTAATTTTTCACTTACCGCTAAATTAAACCAGTATTTTCACAACCAGCATCATGTATCATTTTTGCTTGTTCTTGCACTGTATGGATTTTGAATCATGCAGAATGAGCTCTTGTTCCTAATTTTTTCCATGCAGCATAATGTTTTTGAAATTATTTTTTTCCAATTGATTGCATATATCAGAATTTGAGCAGGGTTCTGTTGTGTGAACAGTTACCTTTTTTTACTTTCCAGTTGATAGGCACTTAGTTACTAGCTTTTGTTTGTTTTCATCAATAAAGTTATTATGAACATTCTTGTATTAAGGTTTTGGAGGATATAATTTTTCTATTTCTCTTAGGAGTAGAATTGATGGGTCAAGGGGTAGGCATATTGTATTTTTAATTTTATAAGAAATCGCCATTTTTTTCAAGCTAGCAATGCCATGTTGAACTCCTACAATGTATGCAAATGCCAGTTGCTTCACATCTGTCTTACACTAGGATTGCCAGTCTTTTACATCTTTACTCTTGCAGTGAGTGTGCAAAATGGTATCTTATTATGGCTTTAATTAGCATTTCTTTGCTCTTTAATGATATTCAACATTGTTACAAACATTTACACTGAAGTATTTTTGGATTTTTTGGGGTAGATCATTAACTCATTTCCAATGAACTTTTATGTACAAAGTGAGATGGAAACTAAGGGTTTTTGTTTGGTTGCTTGGTTGATATTTTGTTTTTAAAAATATAGATATTTTTAAAAAGTATAGATATTCAGTTATTTCCACAACATTTATTGAAAAGTCTATCCTTCCCCCTTGAATTATACTGGCATATACGCCATTCATGTGTGAATATACTATTTTTTATTAAATTGATGTATTTGTCTATTGGCATTCAAATCCTTTATTGTCTTGACAACTGCTGCTTTATAACAAGTTTTGAAATAAGGTATGGTAATTCTTGTAAATTTCTGTGCTTTTTCAAGGATGTTTTGACAATTTTAGGTCCTTTGTAGTTCCATAATTCTTATGATCAGCTTGTCAATTTCTACAGAAAATCCTACTGAGATTTTTAATAGGATGTTATTTAAACTAATGATAAATTTGTATTGCATTCATATGTTGAGTCTTCAGATTTATGGATGTAGGATATCTCTTCATTTATTTAGACTTCATAAATTTCTTTTAAGAATTCTCTGAGATTTTAGATATAGAGATCTTTGACACTTTTGGTTAAATATATTGCTGAGTATATTATGCTTTTAATGCTATTAAAAATGCAATTGTTTCTTCATTTCTAGTTGTTTGTTGCTGATATATGGAACTTAAATTAACTTTTGTATGTTAACTTTCTAAAATACAATTAAAAACATTTTTCATTACTACTAAATGTATAGGGTATTTTGGTAGAATTTTTCTATACAGATTAAAAACAGATTAACTTAATTTTTAAAAATATACATGTATTTTTGTCATTATGATTTTAAAATTTTTATTGTCACTACATGTAAGAATTTATGTCATGATGTCTTGGTACATGTATACAATGAATGATATTCAGAATAATAAGCATTTCTAGCTCTTCAAACATTTATACTTTCTGCATTTTGGGAAAATATGGACTCTTCTTTTACAGTGTTTTTTTAAAAATATAACAATAGCTATATTTATAGTTATCCTATTATGTTGTAGGACACTAGAACTAAACCCTTATAATTGTTACCCTTTATCCACCACAGTCTAGTTCCCTCTTGTACCCTTCCTACTCTCCAGGGACCACTATTCTACTCTTTACTTTGATAAAATAGACTCTTTTTGGCCTCTGTAAATGAATGAGGCCAAGTGGTATAGCTTATTTCATATAATATGATATCCTTCATTTCCATCCATGTTGTCACAAATGATAGAATTTCACAGTTTTGAATAGAATAAAATTCTATTGTGTATATAGTCAATTCAAAAAAAGAAGAAATAATCTTTTCAAACAAATACTTGCACTTCCATGTTTATTACGGCACTATTTGCAACAATCAACATATAGAATTAACCAAGTTATCTATGGATGAATAAATGGAAAAAGTAAGTGCATACGCTTCCTTACATTTTTTTTTACTACTTGCTTGACTTACATTACTTTGACTATTGGCTAGGCTTTTCTATATAATACTAAATAAAAATAGTAACATTACACATATTTACCTTTTGCTGATCTCCACTCTTAAATATGTTAACTGAACTTATTATGTTGGTTTTTGTTTATTTGTTGTCTTTAGATATTGTTTTCAGGCAAAGGGAATTTCTTGTATTGCTCATTTGGTGGGAAATGCTATATATTAGTGTTGATTCAGGGCATATTATTCTTTTATATATGCCAATTTGTCTTTTTATTCTTTTTATTTTGTTAACAAAGTGAATCAGATTACTTATTTAAATATTTGAATTGATATTTCATTCCTGGGAGAAAAATATACTAGATCTTGATGTATTATTCTTTTGCATATTTCTAGATTTAATTTGATATTTCTTAATAATTTTTGAATTTTGCTCATGAATGCTATTATATGGTAATTTTATTTCCCTGAAATATCTTTTTAAATTTTTAATCAGTATTATTTAGCCTTATGTAACATGCTGGGAGATTTTTATTCTTTTTTTAATAAATGTGCTATTGTTACAGTGGCATTATTTCTTAAATCTCTCATAGAACATGCTATAAAACCATCAAGCTTTGAAATTTTCTTTTGGGAAATAAAGATTTTAATTATAAATTAAATTTCTGTCCAGGTAATGACTTCTACTGAGAAGAAATGATACCAAGTGTACAATTTCTTTCAGAAAATAGAAGCAGAAGTAATATTTCCTCATTTATTCTGTGAGGCTAATATTATACTAATACAAAAATTAAATACAGTCACTATACATACACACACACACACACAGCATTTGTTTGCATTTTCCATACATTTATATATATATGTATATATATATGTATTATATGTTATATGTATAAAATTACCCTCAGCAAAATATTGGGAAATTGAATCCAACTCTATATACGATATATGACATTATATATACAGAGTCTGCTAAAAAATGTATACACACTTCAAGAAAAGAAAAACTTGCATAAATATTTTAATGCTAAATTTATTGAGACATTATGAAACTAATCAAGAGGTGCTTAAAATGGTGTCCATGAGCTTCCAGACATTTATTAGAATGGCAAACTTCTTGATCATTGAGATTGCTGCACATGCATTTTCAATTTCTTCTCTAAGGGCCAGCAGTGTAGTGGGTTTTCTGTGATATATGACATCCTCATATGAGGGTAACATCATCTGTTGAAAAAACGTCATGCCATTTTTCTTCTCCTGAAGTGTGTTTACATTTTTGACAGATTCTGTATATATCCTCTGGTATGCAAGATAGTATCAGCATTTAAAAACAGTTAATATAATTGATTGTATCAATAGATGCAGTAAAACCATTTTACAGAATTCAAACCCATTCCTCATCAAACTTCTTGGTAAATAGGAAGAAAGTTCCCTAATTTAGTAAGAATATGTACCAAAAAACCAACAGCTGGCATCATTCTCAACACTGAGATCCTGGATGTTTTCCTCTCAGAAACAGGAAAAAAGCAAGGTGCCCCTTATAAATTCAAGTATCTTCAGAGAACTAGGATTCATAATTTGTCTAAAATGTGTACTCTATCATCTTCAGGCACAGAGTCTGATAAAAAGCATTCTGTTATTAACAGAACGTTGGAGCCTCATGATTTTTTTAAAAATTGCATATTATAATAGCTACCAATTCACAGAAAATTGCAACAATAATAGCACAGGGAAGTTCCATAAATACTTTAAAGTTGTTTTGCCCAAATGTGTCATTTTATATAATTTTGAAACAATATCAAAACAAGGATATGGCATTGAAGTGTTATTCTGTGCGGCCGAATTACATGTGGAGATCAGTTCGGTAACCACTACAAGCACACGTGTCGTTAACTCTGTGTGCAGCCATTTGTGCGGTCTCCACAAATGCCTCCCCAGTAACATCGGTGTACCCTTGTAGCCTTCCACTGCTCCTCTGCTCCTCGGCCATTCCAAATTCTTGACAACCACTCATTTGTTTTTCATGTTTAACTTTTATGTTGTGGAAACTATAAATGAACTAATACTACATAATATATGGGGTTTGAAATTTTTTGACAGGGCCTTATACTTTTGAGACCTATACCAGTTGTATATACTAGTTGTTTGTTACTTTTTATTGTTGAGTAGCATTTCATGGCATGGGTATGATATTTTGTTTAATTTAACTATATATCTAATGAGAGACATTTTAATTGTTTCCAATAATTTTTTCTTTTTTAAATAAGTTACTATGGACATTTCCATAGTAGTATAAATGTTCATTAATCTGGGAGAAATGCACAAGAATATGATTACTAAGTCACTTTTTAGGAGCAGGTGTAATTTTTCAAAGAAAGTGTGAAGTATTTTTTTAAATGTTTTTTTATTTTATATTACCACCACCAGTGTACAAGTTTTGATTTCATTGTTTCTTTGCCAAAATGTTATATAGTCAGTATTTTGCTACTTTGATTTTTTAATATATGTTTGATGATATGTTGTCTTAAATTGCATTTTCCCTATTAACCAGCAAAGTTGAAAATCTTTTTTCTGATGTTTTCCCATCCATACATGTTTCTTTATGTGTTTTACCTAGTTTGAAACTATATTGCTCACTTTTACAGTTGGGTTTTGAGAGTCTCATAAATCCTAGGTTCGAATCATAAGTGTTTGTCATAAGTGTTATTTGCAAGTGTTTCCCAGTCTTAGCATTTCATTAACAGCATCTTTTGAGGAATAAGAGTTTCAAATTATAATGAAATCTATGAAGAGGGTTTTATTTCTGTTTCTGGATCGTTCTTTCAGTCATGTTTAAAA